CATCATCCAGGGCATACCACTCAGGTCTGAAGGACTCGTACATGCACCACATTGCCCAGTCAAAGCCATGAGATGCAGTATTGTAGGAACTCAGTGTCAGGTCATCGTAGTTGACCTTGTCAAAAACAGGCGTCAGTATAACGGTCCGGTCCTCCTTAATCCGAGCCAGTAAAGGCTCTGCCCTAGACACGCACAAACAGTTTTAAAAGAAACATGAGGGCCAATTACAGGATTATCACCACAGCTCTGAAAAGAGTCACTCAGATCTTAAACCAACCATTGGACGTGGACTTCTATGTGAGCGTCTAAGATTGCAATCACCTCTCCCTCAGCTGCCTTCCAGCCCGACAGTCTGGCCTGGGTGAGGCCCAGCTGCTCAGAGTGCCGCACTTTCTTCACCAGGCCTGGACGCTCCTCATGGATAAAGCTGATGTAATCATCCAGCTTCTCCATTAAGTCCTCTGCAGAAAATAAAGAACTGTTTCAGCAATATGAGCTGCAGATTAAATCTACTCATGCCTCTAACAATCACTTTTTTTCTGATCGTTAATAAAAACAATTCAAAGACTGTTTCACAAATCAGCTGATAGATTTGGCACTTCTTTGAATATAAAACAAAAATGTTTTATTTGCCATACTCATAGTAATTAAAAATAACATACAGAGTACTATCCCTGTAAAAGCCACTCTGCTACTCCGAGTACTCTACACACGTGGTCGTGTTTATTTAGGATTATCAGTTCTTTTGTCAGTGGACAGCAACATCGCAATTACACATTACACTCCCTGATATATGTTTTCAGTTCCAACCCACAAACGCAAGCAACCGTGTCCAATTTCAGTGCAGCCTTTGCTACTCAAACTACATCTCATATGTTACACTGATGTCTTTTATTGCCTGTAATAAAAGGATGTAGTTTCTGCCATCATTTGCATTATAAACTAAAGCTGCGGTGAGCGCCTTCCTTTCTCGCTTGGTTTCAGATTTGTCAGATATCTGAGTACCGTCCCTGTGTACATAGGATATCCACCACAGTCTGAAAATGATATGAAAATTATTTTGGAAGCATGCTGACTCACCGTTGCTGCTGTGATCGTCCACCAGGATGATTTCTTGCAGCAGCCGAGCTGGTGTCTTGTCCACGATGCTGCGTATGGCTCTTTTAATGATTGAAAGAGCTTCATCCAAATAGATTAACACAACACTGATGGTCGGCAGATCCTTCGGATAATTTTTCACAGCACACCTGTGAGCAGAAAAATAGCAGGCAGCCTGAAGAAGTAATAAATTAAATGTTTTTAAGTTGAAATTGTATCCTTTAGAGTTCACTCCACATTACAAAGTTGTCTACTGGGTTGACATCTGGCGACTGTGGAGGCCATTTCAACTTATTTTCATGTTAAAGAAACCAGCATACAGGATCTGATGGTGTGTTATGCTGCTGGAAGCATCCATCAGAAGACGGGTACGCTGTGATCATGAAGAGATGGACACGGTCAGCATCAATAGTGAAGTTGCCTCTGTTGTTTAAATTTTAATAATGTTGATGAAAGGCATGCTTTCTTGTTCTTGATGCAAAATTCATTCAAATATTGTCTTCTGGTGTTGTAGCCCATCTGCCTCAAGGTTCAACATGCTCTGCTTTCAAAGATGCTCTTCTGCATACTTTGGTTGTAGCAAGTGGTTATTTGAGTTACCGTTTCCTTGCTTTCCACTCAAAATAGCCTCACCTTTTACCCAAACAAAGGATTTTCTCCCAGATAACTGGCGCTCACTGGGTATTTTCTCTTTTTCTGACCATTCTCTGAAAACCCAAGAGATGGTCATTTAAGGAAATCACAGAAGATCAGCAGTTTCTGAGATACTTAGACCAACAAACATGCCACAGCCAACATCAGTTAAATCACCTTTTTTCCTCAGGGTCAAGATTAATTGCAGAAGATAATCTTGACCGTGTATACATGCCTTAATGACTGACCGATTACATATCTGCATTAGCAATCATGTACCTAATAATGTGGCCATTGAGTGTGTATATGTACTAAATTCATATGCATTCATGCTAAGACAACAAAGACAATAAAATGTCATTGTTGCTGATCGATCTCAAAAACACACACAAAGAAGCTCGGTGTGTGTTTTTAGATTTCCTTTCGGATTCGTGTGTTGCACTCACCTCGGAGGCCTGGTGTCGGGAATCTCTCTGTTGAGGGGCAGCCTGTCACTGAGGAAGGCGTTGTATCCATATCTCTGAAACAACTGCTCGGCTTCCTTCTGCTCCTCCTCCGACAGATCGTCACCCCACTTCTTGAATAGATCAGAGTTGGGGTACAGCTTCCTCACCATCTTCCTCTTGTCCTTCACCTCTTCCTTCCTCTCAGCTGCTGGTGCCCTCTTTTCAAGCTTTTTCATTAAACTGACTGCGGACAGAAATGACCACATGGTGTTTGCATTGTCCATCTAATTTGTTTTTTGTCTGTGAAAACCAAGTCAGTAACAGTCAGGTAAGAGCAGTTTGGTACTTTTTAGCAATGTCGACTTAAAAAGCGAAAATAAGTGAGTAGTAAAGCAGGCGGGTATAATAATTGTTACTTTAATTGTTTCGCTTCAGAAATTCTCATGTGTAGCAGATGAGAAACACCTCAGATGAACAGATCTAGCCTTCATTGTTTCTTCACTGAACTCTAAATACAGACTTTACACATAAGCAGCTGCCAAACTGAGACTTTAACTCACGCAGCCTGTTGATGTCTGTTTCCATCTTTTCCATCCTCTTGACGATTCCCTGACCCCTGATGGAGTCATTGTAATGGACCCTCTGCAGTCTCTCAGAATGAATGTGGACCTCCTTCTTAATAGAGCTGAGGTATAGCAATGCGAAGGCCACAATGAGGACTGTAAGCAAAGCTTTCATCCAGCTTGCTCTCATGCTGGTGCTCCTGTGTATGCTAGGTACACTCCTCTACTTCACAGTGAAAAGAGGTGGAGAAAACATTTCCTCTGCCTTTTACTTCAGGTGTGCTCTCCCTTCCTTTACTCCCCACCCCTTGCTCGAGAGCTGTAATCTGATATCCTGAAATTTACATCATATTCAAAGAAGTGTGTGCTGGAGACATGCATTATTCTCCACTCTGCTGTCTACATTACACCTGAGGTGCAGGTGTGTACTATTAACTGCACTTACCTGGGAGGGTAGAAAAAGAGGAGGACTCTGCAGGTAAGGGGAACAGGACTGAAAGAGTAGTACTGAATTGCTTGTGGCACTGCAACACTATAGTCCAGCCTGTTTAGTAAAAACACATCGAAAAGGCCAGTATTTAGGGTTTGGTCTGTTTGGCAGCCCATTCTCACCACGGAAAGGAAAAAAACAAAAAAAATTGTCATTAATAATTAGAAATTTCAGGTTATTATAGCAAAAAAATTCAACTTACTAATTAAAATTTCAGAACAAATAACTCAAAATTGAGGAATTTGGACACATAAATGGCAAAAAATATCCCATGTCTTTCCTTTTTCTCCAGTGGTGAAAACAAGCTTCCACAGGTCTGGGTCAGATTTTGGAGGGGGGGTGTAGGATTTGAGTAATCCGTGTCGTGTTTCACCCGTATCCTGTTATGCCTCTGGCTTGCTGCTGCAAGTTATAAGGAAAAAAATACCAAAAAGCCAGCTAATAAGTGAGTTAAAAAAATCAAGCAGGAGCAAGTTAGGAATCTAAGGAGTTACAATTTCTTTATGTGTGACCATGATTTATCCAACAATGTCAAAAAATATCACATCCAATAAGAAAAAAAGGATATTTTTATTTCATTATCATTGGCTGCTTTTTCATTCATTTTAACTGCACTGCAGATTTTGTCCATACACTTGTGCACGTGACTAGCTTCATCGACACACTGCTTCTTTTTATTTTTGGTTTAGTTTTCATCGTTAAAACTGCCACACACAAGAGAATACAAATTATTGTTGTCATAGCAGTATTACAACTGTGCCTTTGAATTCCTGGTATTCAAACTTAAGCCAATACTGCTTCTGTTTGGTTGGTATACTGGATGTTAAAGACTTCTTAATATATTTAGTAAACATTGAACAGGGAAGGTTAGGAAAGGCATCCTGTGTGTAGATTATGGAGGTATTAAGTTTATCCACCTTTGTGTATTCACTTTTCAGCCATAATTCTCAGAGTCCCAGAGGCACTGACACGTGACTGTTTGTTATGGCCCTAGCAGGCCTGCACATTGTATGAGTGTGTGTTGCCTCGCTGTTGAGCTCAGCTGCCACTCATTTTCCCCAAGGAGCCAGGCTCCACTCGGGAATCAGCCTCCAAAGTATAAGGGCTGGGTCAATTAGTAGAGCTATAGTGCTGTGCTTTGTTTCAGGGTTAAACCTTGAGATAAGTGTTGCATTTTATGCTACTAGTAAGTAGTTTGCTGGCAGCAGAAGAGTTATGCTCTTTCTGTGGTGACCTTTGTAACAATGATGCATGTGCACAGACAATTATCAACAAGCACATTTGTGAGTGGATGGCAGAGGATGAGGATAAAATACACCGTTTGGGAACAACAGTCATGTGAAACCATACAGTAGTACACTCTTATTTATTCAAAGTAAGTAAGAGGGAAAGTAGAAGCTGCACTTAATTAATGTAAGCACCTCTATAAAAGAGATTTTGGAAGTTTGCTGATCCAGCAGCCTGTAAAGCAATAAAGTACTTCCTTTTAAGCAACCAAGGAAAAAAAAAAAACAAAAAAGGAAATAAAGAAATAAAAAAAAAAATTTTAATCACAATGCAGGCAGTGTTTATCGTAAATATATGACATTGATTTTCAAAAGATATTCCAGCTTGCTGTAGCCATAAATAATACAGTGGTACTAACTTGTAATGATGCACGACTGATGCACAGGCCTTTCTAGAGGATTATGTAAAAGGTTATGAGGCGCTCTGTCAGTCATTTTTGGCTAAATGTGTGCAGTTTTAGAAAAAAAGTTAACAAGTGTGGAAAGATAGCACACACATGTAACCTGTTTTTATATGTTTATTTAAATGTATGTACAAGATTTACAAAAAATGTGCTTTGAGTGGAGGTAACATGTCAGGTAACAATTCAGGACCAAAAAAAGAAAAAAAAAAGAAAAGAAAAGAAAAGTGACACTTCAGACATGAACTCACACTTTCAGAATTTAACCTCAAACAGCATCCAGGGGTAAGAGGACACCCTTAAGCTCCATCAGCTTCAAGGTGAAGACCCTCTCAGTATTGTGCATTTTGTATCACACTAAGAGAAATTAATATTTAGAAGTCTCTGCGTAAAAATAACTGAAAACTTTAAAAACACAACATGACCTGACCTCTGAGGTCAGTTCAGTCAGTGGCTTGCAACACTAGGGTGCAAAGGTTTGACTCGAACGAGGCGGGAGAGCCCGAGCCGCAGACCCTGACCGGGAGACTTCACTGCTGGACTCTGGGACGTGGAGGGACTTTTTCCAATTTGAGCTGGGAGGAAAAAACAGAAATAAATTGATAAATATGCTCAATTGAGTTAATTTTACAGGAACATGTTCCAGCTGTGCTGCTGTTCAGTCATTCAGCACCTGGTGGGTTCCACTTGGGCATTCTTCCCGCTGCTGGGCTCAGAGAGGCTGCTGGGCTCAGAGAGGCTGCATGCTTCGATGTGCAGCCTGTGGAGGATGACGCAGGTCTTTTAGAGGCAGGTTTGGCCGTTAGAGGTGTTGTCACTGGGGTAGAAGCTGCTGTGAGAAGGAACAGCACTCATTCAAATGTGAAATTATGATTCGCAGACAAAAGCTGATGATCCTCATGGGCTTACCTGCTGCTTGCGATTTAGGCTTTGATGGTTTCGATGGTTGCTTTTCTTTTTTAGAAGCAAGAATCTGTTTGTTTTTTTCACTCTTTGTTGCTTTTTCTTTCTTTTTAGTCTTGCTTGCTTTCTTTACTTTGAACTCGTCATCTTCGCTCTCAGATGGTTCACTGAAATCTTCATCGCTTTCTGAATCTGCAAAAGCATTATTGTTACTTTAAAGACACAAAAAGAAAGACAAAAAATGGATACAACTACTTAAAAAGTTATGGCAAAGTAACCTGGTGTCAGTTTGGGTTGATAGTCATCATCATCACCATCCTTGTTTTTCAGCTCCTCAGTAGCTTTGTAGGCAGCCTTTCTCTGCCTGGCAGGGGCAGGCGACCCTTTCTCTGATGTGATTTTGTCCAAACCTGAAGAAAACCCATAATGATATTAAACAGAGGGAAGGAAATCAAATCTTCAACTACATAAATAAATAAAGCTGCTAGACTTTACCCATAACTGCACCATCCACACTGCAGTTGGACAGGAGCAGAGAAGCTGGATCTGTGTTTTCATCTACTGGAAATTTGACATCTCCTGGATAAATTTATCAAGAAATTAAGCCAACATCCTTTTGATCACATGAAATGTATTGATCATTTTAAAGAACAAATCATACCTCTACTGACATGAGACTGGTCCTTCACTTCACCTGCATTATTGAGCATGGAGAGCGTGATGGCTGCTTCGAGATCCCTCTCATACAGCTTTTCGTCCAGTGGCTTTCTGCACAAATGAATCAAGATTCAAGTCATGTTAGAGATTTTCACCTCTGAGCATTTCTAATGAATACAACTGATAAAAATGTAAAAGAAAAGACTACTTTTTGGTGACATTTTTTTATTTAACTCAGCATAATCAACATTTTGTTTTAATTTAGCGATTATCACCAGTCATCATTTTATCAGTGACTTTGAATGGCTTTACTATTCAACCACTTTAATGAGTTAAAGCATCACAGCGAGGCTTCAACCCAAATATTTATACGCAGTCTGCAGTATATTCTTTAAAAGTGACTGCTTACTTTCAAGCTGTCAGCACACCCAGTGCACCTCTCAATTAGGGCTGGGCGATATGGCCTAAAATCCATATCACGGTATAATTTGAAGCATGTGCGGTAACGATATATATCGCGATATATTCTTTTCTTCTGTGTAACGTATTTTACACACTATAAGGCACACTTAAAATCCTTTAATTTTCTCAAAGATCGACAGTGTGCCTTATGTATGAATTCTGACCTCGAACCGATTTTATGTAGTACACGGCACATAGAAATCTGTCAAAAAATGTTTTTTGCATAATAGGTCATGCTAATGTAATTGCAACCTACGCTGTTGGAGAGAGAAATAACATTGTGGAAGAGAAAGTGAGTAAAAAATGTCCTAAATGCATTTAGAATTTATTAACTACAAATTAAATTTCTTTTAGGAATTATTGTTTTTTAATGTCACAATTCCAACCCTGCTCCTTTATCCGGGCTTGGACCAGCAAAAGTGACCCGAAATTGGCGCTCTGGTGGAGTTACTTTGTGTGTGTGGGTGTGTGTTTATTAGTAGTTTTAAACCTTGTGATCCACAAAACTGCATAACAGTAAAAGAAGAACTGACTGCGTTACAGTCAGTGCGCGAGCAGCGGCTTCGCTCATGCGCGATTCATTTGCAGTTTGGACGCATAGGTGTGAACATCTCCTGCCCTGATAGCAGCTGGGGGAGGACTATCCTCCGCCTGTGAGCGCTTTGGCACGGGTGAGGTGCCCACGGCAATCTTCAGTCAGGAGAACAACTGAGATAATCCATCCACAATACGAAGTTAGTCATTCATATACTGCAACAACATGGGAACAGAGCAGCTGCGAGAGAATTCAGCATTAATGAATCAATGGTACGGAAGTGGAGGAAGCGCAGTTTTTGGCTTTCCCCATATTCCAAAAGTGCTTCGTCTCTTTGCTATTACTGTCGCTCGGCATAATTTGCAGATGATATTGTTTGCAGCCGCTGCAATGCTTTCGACCAAAAAAGGCGCAGCTTGATGACACCATCAACATGCGCTATCGCGGTAGAGCGGTATAGTCAAAATCTCTACTGTTGGCCAAATTTATATCGTTTCTACCGTATACCATTTATACCGCCCACCACTACTCTCAATCTAAACTAACAGTGATGAACTCAACATGGACACATAATTTTGAACAAAGTTATAATTTCCACTGCTTATCTCCAGCGCTTAGCTACTCATCTCAACAAAATATGAACCCATTTTGAAAATCTATTAATGCATTGGCGCTAGACCCGAGTAGCTTTACTTTTGGACTGGTATTTCTTTACATATCATATCTACACCTACAACAAAAGACCAAAAATCTGTGAGTTTAATCCTTTTAATCATCATGTGGTGCAATATTGTCATTGCTAGGGCCACAATGACTGAGATTAAAATAAGCAAATGTGGACATTAGCTTGTTAGTATTTTACCTTACAATATAAATCGCCTTGAGGTGACTGTTGTTGTGATTTGGCGCTATATAAATAAAACTGAATTGAATTGAATTTCAAACCATAAGACCAGTGTTTCCCAAAGTGTGTCCTGCAGCCCCCTGGTGGGCCTTGAAGGTAGTGCAGGTAAGCCAAGAATCTGACCTAAATACTACGTTATTCTTAAATGTTGGGCCCATTTTGGATCTTGAATGCATCTTATAGTTCATTGTTAGTGAGCAAAAACTATACTAGTGTTACCAGCTGTAATTTCAGAGGATCAGCTAAAAGAAAACACTGCACAGGGCCATGTGATGACCATAGGCTTGGGTGGGCCACTTAACATTTTTGGGCTTCAAAATGGACCACGGCCATCGTAAGCTTGGGAATGGCTGCATTAGACAATGACACACAAAATGAATTATGTTAAACTATGAATTTGGTCGGTGTGCAGGTTAGTTTGAAACAGGCTGTTTGCAGCACAGAAGCACTCTCAGATTACGATGAAAACGTTACATAAACCTATCCTCTTTAAATGCTGTTCTCAACATTGCTGCCTGTAACTCTATCTTTAAACTCTCTCCGGTATGAAAAAAAAAAGTTCTTATACGCGAATACATTAATACAGACTCTCCCTGTGCAGCCATTATCATACATTTACGGTACTGTGCTTGTGTCTGTTTGTAAAGATATTTGCCTACTGACAGTAACCAATGCAAACGCACTCCTATACATGCCCACTTCATGCTTCTCAAGGTGTGTATCAACCAAATGCTGACGAGCTGAGAAGTGGGCCAAAACAGGGAAAGGAGCGACAAAGGAACGCAAAAAAAGAAAAGCAAAGGTACAAGATGAAAAGCAAAGACAGTGGCTGCAGTGGACACTTGATTATTTTTAATGCTCAGCTTCACTTCAGCTCTTTTGTGCTTTAGAACTTCATTCTTAGCAGATAGCGGATTAACCAAGGGCAGCACAAGCAAGAGTAACCCACAGAGTGGTGGCACCACCACCCCCTGCAGGTAGATAGGTAACCTGTAGCTGCCTAACGGACTGAAGCAAAACTTCCCAATATTGCAGGATATACACAAGTGGCGCGCCCTCTGCTGGAAACAAACTAAACAGCAGTAAAACTGGTAACATTTATTCACAGCAGGTTTCATGAGCCCTCTTACCTGATTGTCACAGCCAGTGTCAGATTAACTCGCCACCTACCTGTTCTTCTGGCTT